GGATTTACACAACAGTTTTGCGACCAATATTGGCCTAGATGTTTTGCGAGGTGGCAGAAAGGAGGGGTAAGATCAGTTCAGACAAAATTGACCCATCTCCAACGGATGTACATCATGGCTTTGTCTAGAGCGTTCTCTACAACTCCAACTGCCACAATTGCAGCTTTATTCAATGTCCAAAATCTCTTCACAAACGATCGAAATCATTTCGAAAAGTACTGAATCACTTAATAATAATCGGAATCCCTTCTGAAATTATTGAATCACTGTAGAAATGTTCGGTGTCACTTTGGAAAGTACAAAATCACAACGAAAATATTTAAATCACTTCGGATAGCTCTGAACCACTTCAAAATCACTTCTAAAAGAACTGAATGATTCTGATTTTATTCGTCTTTGGAACTTTAAAAGGTACTGACTCACTTCAAAACAGTTCTTAATGACTTGATGAGTCAAAATTTATCGATTTTATTTCCCTGATCATGCATATCAGGGGCGCAAGTAATTTCAAATTTATTATTTTTCAATTTTTTTCTGAACATGACTTTTAAAGGCGCAGGTCATTTCAAATTTCAAGTTTTTTATTATTTTTTTGTCATCCTGAAAATGTGCGCAAGAGGCGCAAATCATTTCAAATTTAACATTTCTTAAAAGTTTCTCTGATCTTTTCTACCAGGGCCATTTAAAATTTAACATTTATTTTTTATATTTTCCTTTTCGTTTATTTCAAGGGCACTAGCCACTTCAAATGTTACAATTTTTGTCAATTCTTCCCTGAACATGTTTACCAAGGGCGCAAGCCATTTCAAATTTAGAGATTTTTCAATTTTTACCTGAACATGTGTATCAGAGACAGTCTTGTAAGCGGTCACGGTACTCGACACATTTTCTGTGATAATCGACTGCCTTTGCCTACGACACTTGCAAACCAAAGTATCATAGTACAGTACCAAACAAAAATGTCATATGATAGACTCTGTCATACGACACTGTCGCCGAAGACCGTCACGAATATATGTATTTTAGTTTTTTCTCATAATAAAAGCTGCTGATGTTTTGCTTGTGTGAACTCTGGAAATAGCAATGATGTCCTAGTAATAACATTTCTGATCATAAATGGTTTAATTTACACCAAATTGAGGAAATAGAACGAAATCACGCATGTCATATGATAGTTATTTGATACTTTTCTTTTTGCTCTAATGTTATTCTACCGTTTGTGTTGGGTGAGAGAGACGACGGTAGAGCATGACAGTACGAATAAAAACAGACTGGCGCGCATGACAACGCAGCGAGTGTCGTAAAAATCGTCAACAGTTTCAACCCCTGATCAGAGATTTGTGAATCGGGGGCGCAAGTGCAATGTATTTTAAGTATCTAACTTTTTCGGTAAGATATTGCTTTCATTAAAACGTCTATACTTTTTTTATTGGATTGATGATTTCACCTATTTTGGAAACTATTTTTTTTCGGTTTGGAGCTAAGTAGTTATCGACTACTTGCGACTACCCACAACCACAGCACTGCCGACGCTCGTACCACGTCGTGTAAGATCACGAGTCGGTGAATAAGTCGGCTCATTCGATGCACGTAGCACGCGTCTAGACTTCCTGCGGTCTCCGCCGTCGAACAACGCAGAAGTAGCAGAGTTCACCGCCACTCCGTTCGTTCATTCGTCGAACGAGCGGCGTCCATCACCAGCATCTGGTGAAACTGTCTTAAGAGGTATTCATGTTGCTGGGTTTTCGTTAGCTGATAATTTACTTGCTATTTTTTTTTCTGGGAAGGTTGGCTCCGAATCCAACCGAGCAACTCTCTAATTTCATACATTTTGGTCCGAGGGAAAACGAGACGGTTTACCTGTGATGAGAAACACCGTGCTAGTCAAACTTGTTACTGGCCGATAGTTGATCACACGCTCCTGGTAGTTACATTTTGGGGTTCGTTGCATGTTTTTGCTCTCGAACCATTTCAGTCAGCCAACTTTCTTCCCGTCCAAAATTTGGGAAAATCAGAGCCTTCCTCTGATAGGTCTCATATGGTCGAGCAGCCCTATTCCTGGTAAGTGGTCTCCTTTGGGAGTGGCGCTTAAACCACCTTTACTTAGAAAAACGGGAAGACTGCATGGCTGACCCGTTACAAAGTGAGGGTTGTCTTCGATGCCTCGAGCAAAACGTCGAGTGGGATCTCCCTCAACAATACACTACTGGTAGGGGCAGTCATCCAGCCAAATCTTCGTACAATAGTTCTCCGCAGTCGTACCCGTCAGGTGATGCTGGTAGCGAATGCAGCAGATTAATATGAACCCAACGGATTTTTCACAGCAAAGCACTTTATGGCGGTTAGCGACAAACGAAGAGGTTAGAAAGTACGAGCTTGCGACGGTGACGAATGGAACGAAACCAGCACCCTTTTTGGCAACTCGTACGCTAGATGAGCGGGAAAGAATACTGAGTGGTCAATTTACTGCGGTCACATCTGAATACCCGAGTAGCACATTTTCATCGCGAAAAGTTGAAGTATCTTGTTTACGACTACACTAAGTCGTATAGAAGCTACTACAACCGATTTGCAACAAGCGTGTTATTAGGGTAAGGTGAAATCGGATGACAATTCCGCACTGTCGATGTCTGTCTGACAACCTAAGTAACATTCCAAGCTTCATCAGGGTTTTAAAGCCTTCTAGAAGCCTAAATCATGGTCTACAGAACCCTCATAAAACCAAAATTTTAACTTAGGAAGCACGTCAGATGTAAATGTAATTATCTTCAAAATAAAAGTCTCCAAGTCAAACCTCCTTCCACGTAAATGTAGCTACTGCCCAGGAAATCACTTGTAAAACACATCTTCGGCACTCGCACCGGCGGTTGCTTTGTACCATGCGAAGGTGAAACAACGCGATTTGAAGATAAGAAACGTCTATCGATGTGATAAAACCGACACGTTCACCACCTACCACACATCATCATTCGAATTCGACGAAACAAGACATCCAAATGATCGTTTTAGGGAAATCGCGCACCAGCTAATCTCCTCCAAATGACACTTTGGGTTGAAAACTACAATTTTAATAGCCTTCTCAAACAACGTGCTGACAAGACTTGGCACACGCTTCACCGATCGTTCGAAATGCAGGCACTTCGTAGGCCTGAACACTATTGGATTGTGGGATTTAATTATTCATTCCACGATTTCCCTGCCCGGATTCAACGGCAGCAGCAGCAGCAAGACAGATTTATCAAACCGTTGACAGGGCAGCGTCGTTCGTGTGTGTGTGTGTTGTCACCCGATCGTGTCTCTACAAGACCGGGAGCCCTTCGTAAGGAAGCCACTGACGGCAGTGGAGCGATAAGCGATCGTACTCTAGTGCACTCCTTCTTTCTTTGTCCACCATTAGGGGGGATTAGGGGTTGGGTGCTGAAGAGTAAAAGGAATAGCTAATTAATTGAAGGGTGTTGGACAATATCGTAAAAATGCATGAGTGGCACGTTGGGCGATGGAACAGATAATGGGATTTATTTGAATCAACTAGGAAAGATTGGATCGTGGGACGTTTGGTTGTGATGGGAATTGTTTAACGGGTTCGAAAATTATGAGAAAATTGATACCGTAATTTACAAATTTCCTTCATATTTATCTCGTTGCGCGCAAAAGCCGATTGCAAAAGTTCACGTAAGTGTGATTGAATCATTATACAGCAGTTTAATCGGGACCTCGCACTCACTCATCCGAGGCGCCTTTCGATTTCTTGCTACGTCATCCTCACGTCACTTTGATTGTCAGGATCGGTCAATTAATCAGTGCAGTCGTCCATCCTTCCATCCACCGACCGACCGACCGGTGAGGTCCGAACGGTCAAAAATTGCCTTGTCGGGCTCCTTTTCCTCCTTATTTCAAATTACCTTGAATTTATAAAGCAAAATTAATGAACTGAAACGGATGATTGGCCGTTGTGATTGAGGCAATAACAAAAATGGATCATCAATTTTAAAGCCCTTTGTCCCATCACCAAACCGATCAACAAAGACACAAAGAGACGAGCACGGTTCCCAAAGGGGGGCGGAACACGCGTCCTGTCTAAATTAGACAAATTGCCCTGCGCCTACTGATTTAACTTGGCTGCCGCAGCCACCGACCGCGAATTAGACCTCTCCTCGCCGCAAACAAAGCAAGCCGGTAAATCACGTAATTTGTTCTCCCTTTCGGGTTCGCCAAAGACAATCTCCCTCGCAGAGGCGCAGTTCCCTGGCTTGCTCTGGTTGTGTCGTGTCGTGGTTCTTTTTATTATTACTGCTCCCATTCACTTTTGATTTCGCTCCTCGCAGACGGCTAGGTAGGCACCTACGTCAACGGTGGTGACGGGGTGGCGGGGCGGCTCTGCTTCTGTTTGTCCGTTTGTTTTGCTGAGTAAACTCTTGTCGTCCCTCCCACGTGTTCTGATTAGCAGGCAGCAGAAAATGACCGTAATTTTCTCCTTGTTTCTATCATCAGGCTGGCAGCAGCTTATTGATTGCTAGTCTTCAACTTGAACTTGGGACTTACGGTCGCTGAAATGCCACCGGGTTCCTGCGATCGAATCGGATTGTTGAGCTCTCCTCGCCTGCCCCCGCCCACCCAGCAGATCAGCAAGCCGATCTATCACTGCAAAGGCTGTATAAGGCAGCTTGAGAATGGAGCAGTAGGGTCGACAGCTGTGTGCTGTCTTAAACAATTACAGTTGAATCGACAATCAGTCACTGGCGTTAATACAGGTAGCGACAGGTGCTGTGAAATGGTAATTCAACCGTTGAAAGTTGTACTATCAGAACGAAATGGGTTGCAAGGATGCCTGAAATTGGAAATAATTTCTCTAAGTAGCGATTGATTTGCGGAAGGGATTTTTACGAAAATCAGAGATTCGGTATTAACCTATGAGCCATCTTTTGTTTTTCTGCTGCAATCTGATCATCGACTCAGTTCTCACTACGTTACGTATTCCTTTGGTTCATTTTCGCTTGCAGCACTCAACGCCTTCCACCAAGGTGATACCGATGGAAATCATTCCAGCAATGGCGAGATGGTTCTGTACGCACTCACAACTCCCATGGCCATCACCCTGAACGTTCTCTTCAACTTTCGGTTGGTTTTCAACGCTGTAATCCAGGCTGGTCCGCCATATCTAAGTATCGACGAAGATACACAACCCAAGTAACATTTAAAGTTTTACGGATAGTGGTCCGAGCCGTTGTCAGATGTGGGCCATGTTGCTGATGTAGATGTCGGACCGACTCAACCGGGTGGGAGTGTTCGGACTCAAGATATTGTACTGCGCTTCCTGCAGGTCGTTGTCCAGGATGGTTTTTTTTTTGTTTATTAAGGACATTTTACATCTCCGCGATGCATTCATGCCCGTTCGATTTGTTGTTTGGTGTATTGTGCAAGTGTTTTTGTTAGTGTAAGTGCTATAATTCTGTTGCTTCTCTCTTCTTTTCTTCTTTGCTTCACTTCATACTACTCTCCTACTTCGCTTTTCTTCACGAATTGCTTCATCTTTCTACCATCTTTACCTGTGTAATTTGCTATTATACAGTTCTTTTAATTTGTTATTCTAGTCTTCTACTTCGTGTTGCTTAATCTTTCTTTCACCTGTGCAATTTGTTATTCTAAAGTTCTTGTAATTTGTTATTCTAGAGCTTTTTGTGCAAATCCGGAAATTAAGCATTTGTGTTGTTCTTTCTTCCGTGTTGTCCAGAGCTTCACGTAGACTGGTGCTGATGTCATTTTCCCTTCTCTCTTCGTCGTATTTTCTGCACTCGAGAATGATGTGCTTTACATCCAACACCGTGCCACAATATTCACACACCGGTGGGGCTTCCTTCTTCAGAAGAAACGTGTGGGTTAGTCGCGTATGGCCGATTCTCAGACGTGTAAGCATACGCTGGTTGGCTGAACTTCCTCGTTCTGTCCATCTGTGCGTGTCGAATTTAACCTCCCTCAGCTTCGATTCTGTTGTGCTAAACCACTGCCTACTCCACTGACCACGTATCGCATGTTTCACCGCTTTTATCGCATCCTCGCTTGGAATCGGTACGTCGATGGCTGGTTGTCTTCTAGCCTCATTGGCTAGTCAGTCAGCTTCAGAGTTTTCCCCTGATGCCGGCGTGTCCAGGGATCCAGCAGAAACGGATGATTTTGCTTTGCACGATTCTCTCTACTTCCTGCACCCAAGGGTGCCGGGAAGTTCCAGCCTCCAAAGCCAGTAGGCAGCTTGCGGAGTCCGTGAGAATAACCAACTCATTTTGAACATTAGGGATGGTGGCGGCCATTTTAATAGCGTAGGCCTCCGCAGAGAAAACACTACATTCCTTCGGAAGACTGTAGGTCCTAGATAGCCCTTCGTTGAAGAATGCAGCTCCTACCGTGTCTTCACACTTGGAGCCGTCCGTGTAGACGATGGTTGAACTACGGAAGCGGGTCTCCAGTAATTGTCGAACAACTGGACGAACTTTCTCCGGTGGGTCTCCAGCGCGTATGCTTCTTTTCACATCCCACACTATCGTCAGTTTTCGTGCGTGCCACAAGCGATTGCTCTGCCTCACGAGTGAACCGACAGCAGGAAGCGTTGAACCGGTTAATTCTTGGAGGCGATTTGAAGCGCTTGTAATCAGAGGTAGGGTGCTGCTGTTTGGATTCTTTGCGAGCATTCGGATGGCAATGCGTACTGTGGTCGGTGCTGTTAGCAGTTCGAAGGGTAGAGTCCCAGCTTCGGCCATCACCGAGTTTATCGGGTTCGTCACGAATGCTCCGGAAGCGAAGCGAACCATTTTGTTGTAGGCAGGAGCGAGAGTCTGCAAGGTTGCTGGCCCTCCTCGACTAACAAGTCCAATCCCGTAGAGCAGCTTCGCAGTAACTATGGCTGACCCAACTTGCAGCAGAGAAGTCCGATTGCCACGTGGAAGTTTTGCACCGATCATCTGTAAAATCCGAGATTCGCATGCTTTCATACCATATTGCAGTGAGGTTTGAAGGTTAACGTTCGGTCCATGGCTACACCTAAAATCCTCAGCCGGTTGGTCTTCGGCACGGGAGTTCCCTCGATAGAGATATCCGGCACGGGATCCCGTCGTGCATTCGGACTGCAGTAGAAGACATGTGACTTTGTTGCCAACACAGTGAAACCAACGCTTTTCGTCCATTTGTTGATGGCTTTGACGGCGGCCTGTAGTTTTCGGTGTAAGCCTTCAGTTTTAGCACCTCGCACTGCTAAGAGGAAATCGTCCGCGTACAAAAGAATGAAGACTCCGTTTGGCACTACTCGGAAGATGGGCTGCATCGCGATGAGGAACAGCGTCACTGACAGGACAGAGCCCTGCGGAGCTCCGTTTTCCAACGGATACTGGCGAGACATATGCTCCCCCAACGGATACCTGAATCGTTCGCTCCGAGAGGAAGCTTCTCATCATGTTCAGCATCCAACCACGTATTCTCCATGACCTCAGAGTGCGGATTATGCCGCGCCGCCAGGTGGTGTCGTAAGCCTTCGACAGGTCCAGGGATGCTATCAGACAGTGCTCGTCTGTGCTTGGAAGCGTTCTCTCGAGCTCGGAAAAGTACGTGTCGGTGCCTCGCCCGGCACAGAAAGCGTGCTGTCGTTTGTCAAGTCGCCCGCTCGACTCTAGCTCGGTGATCAGTCGTCGATTTATGATGCGTTCAAGCAGCTTCGCCATGCAGCTGGTGAGCGAGATTGAACGGAACGCAGCGGGTCTGGTTGTCATCTTCACGGACAAAGGTAGACGTCGAAGCATTGGGTACCCTATCATGTCGGGTCCTGTCGAGGCAGCTCGCCCTTTCTCGAGAGCCCACAGAAGTTCGCTTAGGGTAATGTCGCTGTTGTACACGTCGTCCGTGTTTGGCGAAACATCTATGGACTCTCTTTCAGCTGCCGCCTTAGTCTTCTGAAAAGAAGTAGGTTAACTGGAGGTCGCAGATCTATCGCTGTAAAAACTGGTTAGCGCTTCCGCAGTTTCTTCGGGGTCATCGGTGAAGCCATCCGATCGCTTGAGTGCGATGGTACGTTGTTGTCGGCTGCCACGTAGCGTGTTCATCGTTCGCCACAGTTCGGTTGTCGTGCTGCTTGGTGCAATTTTGGCCACGAAGATCTCCCACGATCGTTCTTTTGCTTCCTTTATCGCCTTCCGTGCTACAGCTCTGGTTTCCTGAAACCTCGCCAATTCAGCGGGTTAATCAGGATCAGATGTCTGCAGCCGCCGCAGAGATCGAAGACACTTTCGTCGATGTCGAATCGCCGCCTTCGCTTCAGGGCACCATCATGGTACCGCTTTAGGCCCCATAGGGCCGCTGGTTTGCGGTATGGCACGAGTTGCTGCTGCAATTATCTTCTCCGTGAAGCTTTCTACGTCCCATTCAACATCTGGCCGGATGGTTTCTGCGGTGATACGTTCTTATAACGACCAATCAGCGCGATCGTACAACCATTTCCGCCACGTAGTTCGTGAGGATGACCACCCAGGAATAGAAACTGTTATCGGGAAATGGTCACTATTGTGCGTGTCCGGTAGGGTTCGCCATGTGAATCTGCGAGCCACACTCTCGGAGCAGAAGGTCAAATCGATTGTTGAGGTGTTGCCTGTGGCCGGGTCGATGCGAGTGGGTGAGCCATTGTTCAGAATTACCAGCCGCTTGTCCAAAGTAGCTTCGGAGATGAAACGGCCGAGCGCGTTCACTGTTTGTGATCCCCATGCTAGATGATGAGCGTTAAAATCCCCCAGAAACATGATAGAACCTTCCAGTCGGTCGAGTAGATCACTCAACGCATCCTGACACTGTGTTGAGCTCGGCGGGACGTAGATAGAGACTACAGTTATCTGAATCGGTGTGTGGATGCGCACAGCGACGAGGTGTTAGGAGGTGTCTACTTGCAGTCGCTCGAAGGGTATGCCTTCTCGAACAGCAATACCAACTCCGTCTTGCCAGTAGTGCGTGTTATTGGATTCCAACAGTAGCGTGTAGTTCTTGCCGATGTAGTCTGGTGGTGCGACAGTCTGATTCACCTTGGTCTCCTGGAGTGCAATGATGCAGGGTTCGAGCTCAGCTATGAGGAGTTTCAGTTCGCTGATGTTGCCCCTGAGCCCACGAATATTCCCCTGAAGTGCGAAGCAGCCACCGTGTTAACTGATACTAGCTGACCGTGTGATCCAGGACCGTGCCGTTTTGCACTGAAAATAAAGTTTCGTTTTTACAACCATCAATGTCTTTTACATAAAAATTATAAAGAAGGGGGCTTAAACATGAGCCCTGGGGGAGACCCATGTAACTAATTCGTGAAGTTGTCGAGTTTCCATGAGAAAAGCTCATATATTTCTCAGACAACAAGTTGCTCAAATAGTTGTTCATAATTGGTGAAAGCCCACTATCGTAAAGTTTATCCGAAAGGACATCGATACAAACAGAATCAAAAGCCCACTTAATATCCAAGAAAACTGAAGCCATTTGCTGTTTTTGCGCATAGGCCAGTTGAATTTCAGTTGAAAGCAACGCAAGACAGGCGCTCGTTCCTTTGCCTTTCCGAAATCCAAATTGCGTATCTGAAAGTAAACCATTCGACTCGACCCATTTGTCTAGACGAAAAAAAATCATTTTCTCCAACAATTTCCGTATACAGGACAGCATCGCGGTACGAGTTATAATCTGACGCGGGTTTTCAAATGTTGAATAAGTTCAACAAGCACTTCTTCGCCGCGACGTCTGGGAGATTTTTGAGCAGGTTGAACTTGATTCTATCCATTCCTGGAGCTGAGTTGTTACATGAGAGAAGAGCAAGTGAGAATTCCACCATCGAAAACGGAGAATCTATTTTATTGCTACCCGACGGACGATCACGAACGTTGGTTTGAACCGGCACCAAATCCGGGCAAACTTTCCGCGCGATGCTGAATATCCAACTGTCCGAGTACTCCTTGTCTTCGTTAATCGGTGATGACGCGTTTCGCATTCTCCTGCCGACATTCCAGAGCGTTCTTATGGAAGTCTCTCGCGACAAACCATCAACGAACCGACGCCAGTAACTATGTTTTGTGGCCTTAAAAGTTTTCTCGAGGTCGGTGTACTGCTCGAAATTCCCAGACCTTACCGTGTTTGCGGAATATTTTCGTCCAATGATTTAACGCAGTTTGAAATCTGAATTTTTGCAGA